CAGGCACCCGCCCGCCGGTCCCGCAGGGAGAAACGCGGGATATTCTTTGTCCTCAGGTGCCGGTCCCAGGCACCTGCTCACCGGTCCCGCCACCCTGCCTCCCTAGCAACAGGGGTTCGTCCCTTTAAGGCTTCCAAAAAGCACTCGCCAAAAAAAAACCGCACCGGTTTCTTTCCACCCGCCGGGAGCCGGGGGGAGGGGCGCTCAGGTCCCGCCGGGCCGGGGCTTGTATCTTACCCCCTTCGCAAGGCGCTGGGTTCTTGCAGGTGTGGATGTGGTCTGGATGTTGTCCTGTATCCTGTGGTCTCTATTTTAGGAAGATTTTTCTTTGGTATATTTTCATACCTCTATGTGTTTTTGGGAGGAGATTTCCACTGGTCTACTCACGCCGCCATCCTGGCTCCGCCCTATCTCTTCATGCTTCTTTTAATGCCCCCTTCCTGCCCTTCCCCTGGCACCTCATTCTCCTGAAAGACTGATCTCCTTTTAGTCACTACAACTTGTATCTTCTAGACATTTACAGAAGCACAATTATACATACATTTTTATAAATAAAATCATACTCGTTTTTATCTAAGGAGAGCTAGGGATTTCATTAGTCCCAAGCTTCCACTTGAAGTCAAGCGAGATGGGAGTTACAACTAAAGATATCCTCCCAAACCCCATTCCTGCAAATAAAGCCCATACTTCCAAAGGGTTAAGTAAGAATTCTTCAAGTAATAACCTGCAATTCCATACATGACTAACACTTTGGCAAGCAATAACCATGGTCCTCCAGAATCTAATATTATCTGTGTGTGAACAGTTGCCAAATACAAACCCATGAATCCTGCACACACAGTACAGCTGACCCTTGAACAACACTAGTTTGAACTGCATGGGCCCACTTACACACAGATTTTTTCAAGAAATAAACTGGAAAATATTTTGGAGATTGGTGACAATTTGAAAAAATACTTTCTTTTCTCTAGCTTACTTTATCATAAGAATACAGTATATAATACATACAACATATAAATACATGTTAAAGATTGTTTATGCAATTGGGAAGGCTCCTGGTGAACAGGAGGTATTATTAAATTTTGGAGAAGTCAAAGGTTTTTGAGGATTTTCAATTCCACAGGTGAATAAAGGTACAACAAAGATGACTAATACAGTTCAAAAGTTAATATTTCAAAAAGAAGAATTATACATCTGAAACTGGTATTATGTCAAATATACCTTTATAAACCCCAACCCTACCTGTTTAAGGGTCAAGTTTATATGCTAGTGCTAATCTGAACATAATCTTTGTGATTAATATCTGAACTCGAGGCAGCCAGTCAGATTAAAACAGATGATCCTATAGTATGTTAAGGAACCAAACGTTACTTTTCTTTATCTTTTTCAAGAATCCTTCCCTCAAATCCTCAAGAAGTCTTGATTGGTACCCATGTACATGTCTATAAATAAAGTTTTCCCATGTGTTCAGTTCAGTTAAAGCTTTTCTTTTTTTAATTGGGTGATCAAAATCTTGATCACAGAAGATAGTAAGGATATTTCTTGGCCTTGTCCTTAGCTTGAGGTGAAAGAAAAAAAAAAATGTTCCCTGAGAATTCCTTACAAGTACAGACTCACCCGTGTTGCAGACATGAATTCCTTCTGTGGTTGGCTCAAAAATTTCAGGCAAATACAAAAATAAAGCTGACATAGTTTCAGTGATAGAAAATGAAACAGAAGGTAAGGGATTAATGGCTAAATAATACCACTATTTAATAAAAGAATCAATTGCCTAGTAAAATATAAAAATTTTGAACTTGTAGATATCTAATAAACTTGAAAAAATTGTAAAATAAAAACTGAAAAACTACACAAAGAAACTAATTTTGCTATCAAAATGGGAGCTTGTTAGTTACTCTGACCAAAACAATCAGTAGGTAAGCATTCAATTAACTGATAATTCAATTAACTAGTTTGCCCTAATGACTTTGTATAAAAACCTGTGCCCAATAACTAGATAATGGCTATTCTTTTAAATCACAAGTATACATTTACAATAACTGACAATGTTCTGGGCCATAATAATGTCTCTATCAATGTAAGACAATATTACAAAAACAACAATTTCTGATTATAACTAAGGTATGTCAGAAACTAATAAGTTATAAAAAATTCATATGGAAATCAAAAAACATTTCTAAATAAATGAGTAATAAGAAAAATCATGTTGGGAACTTAAAAAAAAAGAGCAACTCAGTACTACTACTATATTCACAATGAAAAATAACTACTGTGAATAGAATGTAGGTAATACAAGCTAAAAGAAAACATGAACAACTTAACACCAACAAATATAAAAAGTTAGGTGACATTCAATATTCCTAGAAAAGAATCACTAACCAAAACTGACTCTAGAAGAAATAGAAAATTTCAATAGCTCATTAAGGATTAAAGAACTGAATCAGTATTTAGACTTTTACAACATAGAAAACACAGGTCCACAATAGCTTCATAGGCTAGTCTGATCAAACATTTACAGAATGAATAATTACCATTTTACACACTTTCAAAGAACTGAAAAGAAGAAATACTCCTCTACTATACATTGTAGTAGTCTCATGTAATAAAAAAGACGTAAGATAACATATAAATGGAAAATACCAGGCCAATCTCACTCATGAACACAGATGCAAAAATCCTAAAATAAATTATACCAGCCACAAGCAAAAAAGATTATGACCAAATTAAGTTTAATCCAAGAATTCAAGATTGGCTTAACATTACAAAATCTATTAATATATAGTTTACCACATTAAGGGATTCAGGGAGAAAAAAATTATTCATTTTAAATTATTACATTGAATGTAGATAATATATTTGATAAAATTCAATGCCAATGCCATTGGTGATAAAAAATCTTAGCAAAATAATAATGAAAAGGAATACTTCCTTAACCTGAAGGTTTATCTACAAAAACTTTGGTACACATATTAAATGGTGAAATCTTAAAAGCAATTTCTTAAAAATCAAGGGGAAAAACAAGAATGTTAGCTATCATTACTTCTATTAAATATAGTGGAGATCTTTGCAGATATAATAAAATAAGAAAAAGGGAGATTAGAAAGGGAAAAAGAAAACTACCTTTTTCCAAAATGATTTATTATCTACATAGAAAATTCTGAAATAAAAATCTACATAGGATTAGAATTTGAGATATTATTATTAAAATAATTTATATATTTTTATGGAACACATACAAAAATACACCAGAAGGGGCTACATGAAATATTTAATAAGTTTATTTTTAGGTGGTTTATGAAATATTTTAATTTTTTATATCAGCATTTTGGTTTCTCCAGTGGCTTGCACTAGATTGTTTAATTTCATAAAAAAATAAGAGAATGTTACCAGATGTAAAGTCAATTTTATACTACACACTAGCAACAAGCAGAAAATGTAATTTAAAAAGTACTTAAAAGCAACAAAATAATGATATCTAGAAAGAATACAAACATTTACCTTTCTGAAAAAAATTATAAAAATTGAAAGAAATAAAATAATTTAACAAAAACAAAGATATACCATGATAATGGGTAAGAAGGATCAGTATCATAAAAATGTAACTTATTTATAAATTTATCTATTTTGGACACAATTCCAATCAAAATCCCCAAAGAAATTTTTTTGTGGAATTTGACAAGCTAATTCTAAATCTATACTGAAAAGAACACAAACAGATAAAGATACTTCTAAAGAAGAAATATGTAAAGGAAACTACTCTGCTAGGAAACAAGATTTATCAGCAAGTTTTAGTAATTTAGGTACTATAGCATTTGTTGGGATAGACAAATGGAAAAAAGAGAAAGCTCAGAAACAGACTCCCCATGATAACCTAAGCTATGACAGAGGTTGCACTGCAAATCAGCTTATTTCAAAAGAATGGGATAATTAGTTATCTTTATGGAAAAAAATGAAAACTCACTCCTACCTCACACCATATCCTAAAATAAATATTAGATAAACTAATTCTACTGTAATAGAGGTGGGAAAACAGGAGTGGATGATTAATTCTGATTGATCGTAAAGAACGCATTCTCAGTAGAGGTGACCTTTGACCTGGTCCTTGGAGAATAAAAAGGAAGAACAATATGGGAAATGGACTTCCAGGCTGAGAAAACAATAAGATTAAAGTCTCAGAAACTCCCAAGTGTGAGAGGCGTTTTCTGGGAATGGACAGACAAACCAGCCCAGCTGAGCAGGTAGGAGAGAGAAAGACAATGACAGCTGACTGGTGGTTTGTAACATTTTTACATACACATTGCACTGTGCTTCACCAGGCTTCTGGCCTTTATCCTAGCCAGAGCCAATATGCTCACAGGAAGGGAATGTCGTTAAGTACAGTACCTGTACCCTGACACTCATCAAAAAGCACTCTTATTAATTGCAGCTCAGATATGTAAAATGAAACTTTTTTAAAAGCTTAGGAGGTTCAAGTTACCTTTTCTTTTTTTCCTTGGGTGTCTTGGTCCTCCTGGTTGTTAGTCATTTTGTTGGCCTTGTTGTGCACACTAGGAATGACCTACAACCACAGTAAAAAAGGAGAAGGGAAGGAAGAAACCATATAAATGTCACAACCATTATATTTTAAAACAATTAAAATCTTATTGAACCAAGTTGTGACTTCATCTAAAAAGTGAAGACATCAGAAGCATAACTCAAGGCAAACAATACCACCTGGGAAATATGACAAGCTCTATGACCCCAATTGTGTGTAGATCCAGAAAGTGAAGATGAAGACTAAAAAGAAGGTCATCATACTGATTGTCATCCGAAGTTGTCATTTTGCAAAATACTGTTTTAGGGGTGACCTAAGTTAATTCCTAGAACATGGAATGCATCATTTATTTGATAGATTTACCTTATTTATCATTATACCACAGTTCAAGTATCTTATCTAGCACACTGTGCACTCTTGACAAATATTTCACTGTTAGCATAAATATGGAATTATAAATCTATTTACAACCCTGGATAAAAGCTCAATGAGAGCTGGAGTTTAGTGTTATTTGCCGCTATAACTCTAGTGCTCAGAAAGAGCCTAACAGCTGTACTCCATTAATGTTATACACGAATGAAACAGTTCCATTTCATAGAAATAATTGTAATTCTTAATGGTGCTAGATTACTTTTTGACTCATTTCTTTTGTAAAAGCATCTATGAAACATCTTAGGAAAATATAAAAAATTTAGCAAAGTTTTTTAAAGGTATACCAAATAGCTAACATAACAATCTTAGCATAAAATCTGATGACAGATATGAAGATTAAAAGACAAAAAAGATCTCCTTTCTCAGAAAATTAAAGGAACTCTGTCTAGGGCTAATTTTAAGAACGAAACCAAAAAACTACTTCTCTCTAAATGCAATTTAAGATCAATTGTTCTTCACTTTTAATATAGTCTAAAGAAATACACTAATTTTGGAATAAATGAAAAAGTCCTAGAAATATTTAAGTAAAAAACAATAGTAATGCTACAATAACATATATTCAGTGCCTCTTGTGTGAACAGACACTGTGCTAAAGCTTAGTATTTTTCTATTTAATAGACAAAACAACCTAAGTCAGAATTCAAAAACTGGTGGGTCTACAGGCTTGTGTTTCTTGTCCTGAAAAATTCTAAAATAAAGCAAAATACTTTGCCTCCTGACAAGTCAGAATACCTGCCCACCCTGAACCTGCTATCTCCTGTGGAAAAACCAGCTGAAGCTGAACAGCAGAAACTTTGGGATGGGACAGAATGCCACTTGCCATTCATAAGGTGTACACTGTTTTTGTGCGTAGAAGAGAAATATATTTCTGTACACATAATGCTAGCAAAATTTGGAAGACAAAGGGCTTATTGAGAAAACTACATCTTTAAGAAAAGAGCATATTTCTTGTGAAAATAAATGTATTTGTATATGATTAATATGCAAAATTTAACCATCAAAAAAATTTAGGTGCCATTATAAAACAATGGTATTAGGGAAGTATGATGGGATATGGGAAAAAAGAAAACAATACACGATGAAAATTTAATGAACTGAAGGGATGATCCCAATTTCAAAAGGTTTTTTTTTAATATGAAAAAAAAAACACATGATGCTGTGAAATGTAGTTATGTTATTAAGTGGAAAAAATTACCTTGGCATTAAATTTTCTATAGAGGAGTGCAGTGTAAATCATGGGTTCTCCTCTGAAATAAGCATTTGCCAAATAAGTCTAAGTGGATACACACACTTCCTTTTAGCAGACTGAAAATACTGTTGAGAAATTCAGGAGAAACTCAGCTTTGAAAAAGTAATGTAGGTGATACTCCTAAAGCATCTGTTAAAAGCACAAATGTAAAACAATAAATACAAAATACAAATATAAACACAACTGTTCAATTCATGGTGTTGATGAGAATTTCCATGTGACCAAGGCATGTTTAGACACAGGGCCTTTGATGGGCCCAACATTAGGAAATGACTTGTTTGGGATTTTAAGGAAGGTCTCAAAGTTTAATGTAAATTTGGTAAAAAATGACTAAATATTCAGCTATACTTCCCTTCCTGTGATGATCAATAAAATACTATTTGCAACAGTAAGTAAGCTGAAGAAAGCACCATTTTGCAACAGTATGAAACTTGATTCCTCTCATTACCTCATTCAACAGGAATCGCTTTGTGCTAACATATGGAACAAGTCATGGACATAGTAACTAACACTATAACCTGAATATGCTCCCTTGGCTGGAACCACAGAGAGTTCAATGCTCAATGAACCGAATGCACAGTGTGGCAGTCTGTTTGGCTGTGTGGGGGATGAGTGACTTGAGCATGTCATGATGCTTAAGAGATTTTCTTTTTCTGAACAGTTGAAAGAAATCATTGTTTATGTCATCCAAGCAAAAAGTTTCACCTCAGCTCACCAGCAAAAGCTGGATGGAAAGCTTGCCTTATTTGGTTGATTTTATAATATATTCCAATGTTCTAAATATTTTTTGTCAGGGCATTCACAAATGGCCACATAAATTGATAATTTGATTGGCTTGTTCATTCTATCTAGCTCCAAACTATTCCTTTGGAAGTACTATTTGGTAAGGAATAATCTGACCAATTTTCCTACTGAACTAGTTTCAAGAAATAAGTGATGGTCTCAAGTACTTACTCAATATTTTAAGAGTTAAAAAATGGATTCCAGCAACTTTTTAATTTCAAATTGTATGGAAATGAGAGGACTTTATCTAGCTTACCTCTCTCTGTGAGCCTTGCTGGGGTAAACATAACACTAGGACTGGAAGGAACAGGACCGCAGTGCAGGGCATCAGAGCAGAGCTGCCCAGCTCAGGGAGGCTGCAGCCCACGTGTGCAGGGAGGTTCTAATTATGTCCAAGTGTCACGTTGCTGCCCTGGCTTTTGAGGCAGCCTGACACCTGTCTGTCCAGTTTGCCATGCAAAGACTACTTTTTGTATGCCTTGATGCACAAAAGGTTGAAAGGGCACTTCATTACTGTATTGAACAGCAAATTCTTAAAAATATGGAGTTTTTCTACTGTTCAGAAGTGCCTGTTTTGCACAGCTGTTTTCCATTACAAAATAAAGAAAAATAACATTGCTTCCAGTTATAGGGTTTATGGGTGCACTCCAATATAAAGTACACATCCTGCTACTGACATCTGCTTTTCAGAGTTATAATTCCATACCAAAAGAGTAATTTATTACAGAAACACTTTATGATTAAATATTATTACTTTTGGCTTCAGAATCTCTAATAGAATATACATGTTTGTATTTTTATATTTTAATAAACATACAGAATATTTGATGGCACCTCTATAATGTTTTTGCACCTGACCTCCTTTATGTTTAAAGTAATTAATAAACAAAGTAACTGGCTCAGAAAAGTTAAGCAACTTGCCTCCAAGTCAGCATAGCTGGTAAACAGGGAACCAAGGAATGGAAAACAGGTCTGTTGGAATACACAGCCTGTGACAGAAACTAGTGCACACTGGAATGACTCAAATTTGATGAGGAGTTAAAAATCAGAGGGAAAAAAGGTAAAACCGAAGTTAATAATTATATTTTTATGAAGTTGTTTTTGTGCTTTTCCTGGATAACAGAGTAACAAAGAAAATATGTGGGAAAATACTTCAAGGCAAAAACTTGGTCCATAGATACACAGAGTATTTTTAAACTTTGTGAAAATAGGGAGTAGCACTTACTCTTGGAGTGGATGACAAGCTCTGAACAACAAACACGACAGGGTTTCCTGCATTTGTAATGGCCTCCACTGCTTCTCTGTGAGAGGCATTTTGCAAGTCTACCCCAGACACCTAAAACACAGAAGTAATTTATTTCAATTGGTAAGACAGTAGGTATTGTGGATAGGTTAATTCAAAGTTCCTATTTATTATCTAGTTATGAGAAGAGTCAGAGTCTAATGAATTAGACCAAACCCAAAAAATAATAATAATAATAAGATTGGCCCATAAAAAGCTTTGCTGTTTTAGGAGAACAAGTTTAAGGAAAATGATGTTCCACATCAAGAAAAGTAAATAAGACAAGTATCTTAATGGCAACAGTCCTGTTTAAATATAATTATCCAAAATAGGTAGTCAATGAGTAACAGAATCTTAAGAAGCTTCTAAGCTTGTAATATTACCTCCGCCACTAATATAGTACATAATTCTGAGTTGTGGGGTTCTCTCTGGACTCTTCTCTTCTCTCAATTAAACCAAGAAGAATGGTATTTTAAGCAAATTACCCATTATTACAATTAAGTAGTTGAAAATTTTTCAGTCTGTTTAAAAAAGAACTATGAAAACATTCATAGGTTCTTTTACTATAGTGTTCAGTATTACAATGAATACGGATAAGTATAAACGGCTCTTTATTATACAAATCTCAGAGCATCTAACTTGTGAACATGTCCATAATCTCCAAGAGCATTCTGTATTGATCCAAAATATTCAACAAAACCAATTTTTCAAGCTGATCATGTAGAAAAGCCCTCATAGATGTTGGGTGGCTTACCGTCAGTGGATAGCGACAATGTAGGTGAAGAGGGATGTGGGATGAAGATTGGTTTTTGTTTTAAGAAGGGAGATATTACAGCAATAATGATGTAGTGAGAGGAAAAATGAATGACAGAGAGAAATGACATCTGTACAAGCAAATCCTTAGACAGTGAAAAGGGGATGACTTCTGCACAAATTAAGAGATTGGCTCTAAACAGAAGCACAAATAGTTCATCTGTTGTTACAGATACAGCTGGAAAAAAGACTTGGTGTGCAGCGGGAGCAAAGGGAAATTTTCTTTTTTAACTGTCTCTATTTTCTCAATGAAACAAGAAACAAAGACCATAAGCTAAGATTAAGACTGACGAAGGAGGCACAGGGGTTTGGACTAGTTACTTACGGAAGTAGGAGAATGAAACGGTGAGGGAAATATTACAGGACTGCAGGGCACAACTAAAGAAACACTTAAGGGGGTGGTTATGAATTTAAAATGAGACCAGACCATCCTGGCTGGTTATTTTTTTCCAACCAGCCTAGAGATCTGTAATAAGCAGAATTGCATTTAACTAGGATGTGGTTCTCCCAGACAAGCTCAGTGAAAGGAAAGAGAACCAAAGAAGTTGAAATGTATGCAAGGGAATGATTAGGATGATCAGTCACTGCATCTGAGCAGACTGAGGAGGAAAGTAAGCATGCCAGAAGCCAAGGGACAGAGAAATGAGGGCCCCAAAGTAAGAGATAACAGCCTGGTGTGTCAGAGGGGTTCTAAGGCAGGTGAGTCCAAAGAATGGTGCAAGAGGGGAGAGCAGAAAGAGGCAAGGTCAGGGAGGCAGCTGAAGCCACATCATGCAAAGTCGAAAAGGCCATGGGGTGAACACATTATAAAACTGTGTAAAGAGATGAACACACACACACATGTCAAATCTGAATAAGCTATGAATTGTGTCAGTATCAGTATTTTGGTTTTGTTATTGTACTAGAGTCATGTAAGACATTAACATTGGAGGAGGCTGAAGGAAGGGTACATGTGACTTCTTTTGTACATTTGTTTGTAATTTCCTATGCATCTATGGATATTTCAAAATAGGAAGTTAAGGTAAAAAAATGTTTAAAATTTAAATTCAAATACATCAGTAATCAATATAAAAATGAATGTTACTTATTGACTAGATGAAGATCATCAATGTAAGTTAAAAAAAGCAAAATCCAGTTACACATTGCTTACAGAAAATACAACTAAAACAAGATCACAAATAAGGGTAAAAATGAAGGAATGAGAAAAGCAATGTACCATGCCAATACTTGGTAACAGAAAACACACCTGCCCCAGAAGCCAGAATAATTCTTTTAAAAAATGTACATGTGTTCATAATTCTCTAGCGGATTCTCACTGCATTCAGAGAGATGCCCTTCCAAGAGCCTCAGGAGGTGGCCTCCCATTACCTCCCGGCCTTTCTCTCCGCCCCGCCCCTCTCATTCCCTCTATCAATACTATCAGTCTTGGACTTCTTGCTGTTCCTTCAACACCAGGCAAGCTCCTACCTCAGAGCTTTCACACTTGAGTTGTCTCTTTCTGGACTCTAATTCTCTCATACATCCACATGAGACACACTCTCCCTTCCTTATTTGGTATTGTCCCCAATAATACCTTCCATAACAAATCTATTAATCACAAGTACTGCCTTCATGACCTGTCATTCCTTATCTTTCTCCGTGTTTTTTACTCCACAGCTACTCACTACAAAGTAACATTCTACATATTACTCATTTTTTGTATTGTCTGTCTCCCCCACTAGCATGTAAACTCCATAAGGGATTTTTTGATTTTCTTCACTGCCATATCCCCAGTAGATTTGAAATGTTTTTTTATTTCACAAACACAAATATAAACTAAAACTTATATATACAGAGCACTTTTATGCAATTCTTCGATTTCACCCTCATAAAGATGCTATGGGCTTTCAATTCTCATTTCCATTTTATTTGGAAACTGGTGGGTTCAACAATTTGTCCAAGAATAAACAGAAAATAAATACAATAACCTAGACTTCAACCCATGATGGTAAGGGCTCTTTTCACTCTGTTAGAGTTAAAATACCACAGCTGATATTTAGCATCATAAAGCATGAATCGAAAATAAGCAAATTCTGGGACTGAGGGTATTCAATACAGTGCCCTCCAATAAACCCAATGCAAGGAAATGCATCAGAGTCAGACCTCAGGACATTTTCGGTGCCTCAATGTGCCACTAAAACTTTGCTCAGAAAAGCCCACCATGTGTGAACGATGGATTCGCCCCTCCCACAATGGAATCTTCGACTTCCATGGTCAACTCTGGGAGGACAAGCATGGCTGTCCCACTGACACACGTTTGTAAAATTTAGAGCATGTTAAGACTGTGGGAGAAGCATCATGCCCACTGGCCGCCTCATTCCGTTAAATTGTGATTGTTTTTTCAGTCAATTGAGTCCTTTGTTTTACTATGCCAACAACACGTAAACTAAAGCATCTAAATAAAATACTCCAATTGTACACACACATACCCCAACATAGGAAGGAAGGGCTTCTGACTAAATGATTATTTTACCATCTTACAGCACATTTCAAACAAAAATTTTAACATCATTTAAGAGTTTTATCATCATTTACCTCAAGTATTTTATCTCCAGTTTTAAGAGCATTTGTTTTTCCTGCTGGACTATCTTCTAAAACTTGTTTGATAAATATACCTTTAAGCTCCTCTCCATTCTTCAGGCGCTTTATAACGGTTTGCCCACCAACAATACTAATACCAAGAGACACACTGGGTTCTCTAAAAATCTCAACACTGTAAAAAGAGGAAAGCAAACTCACTCATGAACAAGTTAATTTAATTTGTTAGGCTATTACTATAAGTATTCAATTTGTACCACATCCTTTTGACTTATATTTATATAAATACATTTCTTAAATATATATTTTTAAATGTTATAGAAATTGTACCTAGTTCCAAAATTATAAGATGTTATTAATAATTTGTGGCATATGTGAAAGTTTAAATTTGGAAAAAAGATTTCTAAAATAATAAATACAACTCTTAATATTCAGAGATTAAGCTAGGCCTTAATGTTCCCATCTCCTATCACAATATATCTTCTGTGATTAGTCCTTTTCTTCTCCATCAATAATATTAGCAAAGAATGGATTAAGGAATTAACAAATGGGTGGAAAATCAAGAAAATCACATATATCACTTCAGCAAAAAGCATAGACGTTCAGAATAAAATTAATTTGCTCTGAGAGGCTCATTGCCCAAGCTGCTTTTTCCAGTAGCAGGTTTAACCTGTGGTTCTTTAAGTGAAGGATAGTTTTAACTGCTCCTAAGGCTGGAAGATTTTCTTTTCTTCCTAACAATTTTTTAAAAGAAAGATAAGTATGGAATAAAACTTGCCCCTCAAATACTACAAATTTTGCTCAAACTGCACAGACATGACCAGTAATTAACTTAAATTTAAAAAACTAGCTCAGAAAACAGCTGCTATAAGTTTTTAAGACAAAACTTAGAAGTGCAAGAAAAAAAAACAATCTGGGTGGGCATGGTGGAATTAATAAAGCATGGAGAATAAGAGCAGCTACAGAAAAACATTTCTATTCTTAATAAAGTGCAGCCCTGGTTGACCACTTACAAATGAAAGTATCCAAGGGAAGATGGGCCTAACACATTCTGTTGGCTCAAAGAAGGCACAAACTTGGACTAACACAAGGGGAAGGGTACAGATAAACCAATATATGACAGAAGTCCCAACTACTGGTTGTTCTTAAAAAAAAGATCTCCTGTATCAAGCAGCCTTACCTGTCTTACCTAGTGGTACAGTGATAAAACATAACTAGCTCATCAGTTAGCTGCCATAGATAAGATATTTGTGTGATAAAACATAACTAGCTCATCAGTTAGCTGCCATAGATAAGATATTTGTAAGTTGCTCTTTCTAAAAAAGTATGATAAAGATTTTCTTAATATATAATAGGTTATAGTCATTTTCCCTAGCTAAAAATCTCTAGGTAAGACAAAATGGAACTAAAAATTAGGGCAGCCTACATGTGAATTATGGCGATTTCCCAAACAGTAGAGGACTGAAAGATACTATTAAGCAAAAGAAAAAAGCAACTAATTGGTTGCATTCTATTGAAAAGCCAATAATATTGTCAACGTACATTCTTGGTGGACCCCAGTGGCTGAAGTTTGGAGTTTCTTCTCCTTCACCTTCTTCTCTCTCAGGTAACTCACTGAAGAGGGAGAAAGGAAGAATATACACAATTTGTAAGACACACTCTTGTTATTACAGATTCCTGGAAAGTTTGAAATTGTACTATCTATATATAGTTAAATAGTTCTTAATTGTTAAGCTTTTAAAATATTTACATCAATAACTAACCACACAAAGCAAAAATAAATTGTTTTTCATCAACACAACTAATATCCACTCAGCACCAGAAAAATCATAGGATTATTATAAACACTTTTATTGGTGACACTCTAGATGTTATTTTCTAAATATCTGTATTTGTATAATTTCACATTTGTTTCTCTATCAATATATATATATTATAAAATAAATTCCTTAAGACAGTATTTATTGAGCAGCTAAGAGAACAGTCTAGTATAAACCAACATAAGCAACTGAAAAGGCTAAACCGTCAGTAGACATGATCCCTCTTCCTAGACCTCTCTGTCAGTCTAACCCTAAATATTCCTTTCATTTTTGTATCCCATGAATATTTTGTATAGTTGTAATACAGCACTTTCGAGGTTACAGGAGATTTACTTATGTTATCTAATTTGATCTTCCCACCTCCTGACACCATACTTTCACCCATTAAATCATGTTCCTATGGAACTGCTTAACTGGATAATACAAAATGCTGAATTACACAGTAGTAAGTTGTAAAAGTAATACACTCTAGTAGGGTAGAGATAGTATCTGGAAAAGGACTCAGGAGTCCTAAGCTCCAGTCTAAACTATACCACAAAATAGGTGTGTGACACTGGACCGCCAAATAAAACAATAATGTCTGATATTGTAAATTGTATTATTCTATACAAAAATGTAGCTGCTACCTCTTCCATTTCATTTTCATAAAAACTCTGTAGTAAGCACAAGTCACAGTACAATACTTCCCACATGAGGAACTGAGGCTCAGAGAAGGCTCACACACCCTACACCTCTTCACAGTATCCAGATCTCTGTTTCAGCACTAAGTTTGCACGTTCCATTTTTCTCTGACTGTCCAACAAGTTCTGTAAAAACGTAGTAAAAACTTTTTTCCGCTCTACAGACTTTCTATTTTCTCGGATATAATGGTTTAAGCCTGAGTGAAAAGGAGAAAGCAGAAAGGATCTAGACAATCCAAAAACCAGTAAAGAAATTGGAATTGTTAGGGATCATTAACATCTCACCCTCTACCAGATGGCTTTCTCGCCTTAGCCAGTCTATTTTTTATGATTAAAAGCATCATGGTATTCAGGGAAAATCGGCTCAGCAGATACTTGCTGGCTACTTACCTAATGTCCTCTCTCCCCTTTTCCTTACCAACAGAAACCCTCTTTTATTCTACGTGGCACCATGTCCAGCTTAAAAAAATTTGTATTTTCTGGACTTCTTTTCAGCTAATGGTAACTGGGTGCCATAGTTCTGATCAGTGACATGGAAGCAAAAGTCCCTGGATGAGATTTCCTGGAAAACTCATTAACTGCAGGGAGAATCAGCAGGCAGGAGCCTTTTGCTCATAATATCCCCCTTCTCCTTGCCTAGAAGGCAGAGATGATATTGGTAGTGAAGCATGCATTTTAAAATCATGAAAAAAACTGATGAGGACTAAAGCAGTACATTAAGGAAAGCAGAGCAGAAAAGAAGAAGGTTTTAAGACCCTGACAGACCACCTTCTTCAGGAAATTTTACATGAAAAAAATTAAGCCCCTGTTTTGGTTGAGCTAACACACTAAGTGGAAAGTTGCTGTTTATACCAACTGAGGGCAATTCCTAATCATACACTCATGGTTCCACCTATTTAGGTGAAGCCTTCATATTATCGCATCATATTATTCTTACTTGCTCATGTGCTTAAATGTTCATTGGATAATTATAATCATAGAATAAACTTTCACATTTTGATTATCACTTAATAGTAACCAGGATTAAATGAGATGACTGGAATTTAACTGAGGCTCAAGCAATATGCATTTCCTTTACAATTTTTTCACTTGAATTTATATATTAATTTTTCCCACATATTATTATCATCTTCATCATTTTTTATTGAACAGCATTTTAACAGTCCATGGCATTGATATAACTTAATTTTTCTGCTATTCCAGATATGATGCATTTAGATTATATCCTGTTTTTTAGAGTATGGGCATTACTACAAGCAATATCTTCATGGTTTGCCATATTTTAGAATTGCGCTTTAAATAAATATGAAGTAGATTAAAAACTAAAAACTAAACCAACACCAAAATCTTCTTCCTTTCCATTTTCTACTTTCTTATAGCTTAAATCATGCTAATAACATGATAATAACAAATATTTGGTCTTTGTCTCTGGTACCTGACACAGAGTTTCAAAAACCCTTGGAATTTCCAGTGGTAGGAGCTTCTGTTGTTACTCACAAGCTCCTTTCAACCATAATTGAGTTTATGCTAACAGGGTGATTCCTGGGGAGACCCTACATAGCTTCAGGATGAGGACTGGTTGTCAGAGAAACAACCGTAACATTGGAATAAGACCTTTCATCCCCACCTTTATCCTCACCTCTGGGAAACGGAGAAGGGCTAGAGATAAAGTTCAAACACTGATGGCCAATGATGTCGTCAATCATTGCTGTGTAATGGAACCTCCATAAAAACCCCTCAATGGTAGGGCTCAGAGAGCCTTCAGGATGGAGAATACATCAAGGTATGGGATGCACTGGCTGTGAAGGTAATGCTCCCAGAGAAGCCATGGGAGCTCTGTGCATCCTCCACACCTCTCCTCCATACCCTTCCCTATGCATCTCTTCCATTTGACTATTCCTAAGTTGTATCCTTTATAATAAATCAGTAATAGTAAGTAAAGTAAGTATACCACTTCCTGAATGCTGTGAGCCATCCTAGCAAATTATCAAACCTCAAGGAATGTTGTGGAAACTCCCAATTTATAGCTAGTTGTCAGAAATACAGTTGGCAACCGGGGACTTGTGACTGGCATCTCAAGTAAGGGCAGTCTTGTGGGACTTAGCCCTTATCCTGTCTGGTCTTCTGTAACTCTGAGTAGTTACTGTCAGAATTGAGTTGATACTTAGTATCCAAAGAATCAGGGAATAGGTTGTAAGGTAGAGGAAAAAAATACACATTCAATGTCAGAAGTATTATGAGCAACACCAGTTCATAATAGGCATTAAGTAAGAAAATGTGTTTTTATTATAGCATATGTATCCTATTATCACAGTAATTAAATTCTTCAATTAAAAAAAAACCTAAAAGTAGAATGGAAACCAAGCTTTAACATTAATATGGACTATGAGTTTTTCTAGTCAAAAAAATGAGAACCAAAACTTTCCCAAACTTCTGGCTTTTATATACAACTTAAGAGAAAGTTGAACAAAATACTCTGACTAGAATATGAAAAATTTTAGATTTCTTTGCTAAAGTATAACAAAAGGATTACTCTGTTGGAAGACTCACTGATTTTTCAAAGCACATTATCTTTCTTCAGGAAACTGGCATACACATATTTTATTTAAATTATTTCATACATAAAGAGAGATAAAACTTGCAAAAGCTTACCCAGTGTGATTAGTTTTGGAAATACAGTCACTGGAGATAAGTAACATATAAACTAATATGGTCACTTTACATTGATGAATGCATGTAACTTTAAACTCAAATTAAAAATTTAACTGTTAAAATGCTTTTCCTACACATATTAAAATGTAAATTTATACAAGTATATTAAGAACTCTAACAAGGGACTTCTAACCTCAAATTTTACAATTTGTAATATGATTAAACATAATCAATAGCTCAATTAATCAGAGTCTCAAATCTTAAAATAACTGAAATGTGCCTCTTATATTCAACCAGAGTTTACAGCCAATTTTTTCTCAAAGGAATCAACTGTGTAATAGCAACAATGCTTTTTATTTCAGACCTTATAACAATTACCCAAAGTTATCATTCTTTACAGATTTTGGAGGAAGGATGGAATGCCCCACTAGTGAACAGGTACATATAATGTAAGACTTGATCATGATATACAACCTCTTGGAGAGTAAAATTTTCAACATCACACAAAAATCAGATGAATCCAGGCAGCCAACGTGACTTTCATTTTCTAAATACCTTTGTTTCATATAAAATTTCTACATACTCAGCCAGATGAGGGCCAAGAAAACTCAGTGTCCTGACATGATTTTAAGCAGGAAGAGTTCTAGTTGTGACTAAGTGATCTCAAGATTTCTTTTTCCTCCTTAAATATGAGAGTCTATATGGCAAATTTCTGTGACACATCACAGGAAATAAGAGCATTTGACAGAATAGGCACTAGCGTTTTTCAGACTTACTAGAGTTACTTACATAGATGTTACACTATAATTTTGAAGTTGCAAAACAAATTGTTACATGATACCAAAATACACAAAGAATTTAGGCATTCTATTACACTAAAGTTTAGAATGACACAGACAGGATGCTGAGTGAAAGAAGCCAGATACAAAAAAGTACCTACCGTATGATTATATTTACATGAGAGCTAGAAGAAGAAAAATAATTTCCAGTGTTAGAAGTCCTATCAGTTGCCTGGGGCAAGACACTGCCAACGGAGAACTTTCAGAGGTGATGGGAATATTCAGTATCCTGACTGGACTATTGGTAACATGGATGTATACTTTTATCAAAATTAAGCAAGTAGTCCCTTAAAATCTGTGCATTTTACTAATATGTAAAATTGTTTAAGTTTTGTTAAAAACACAAGTTCATGTCATAATGGTTAAATTGCTTTCTTAGGTCAACCATACTTCTCTTTTGGCCTTCTGAAGAGTCTAGATTAATAATCAAGATCAAATTATCTTTTCAAAGGCATTAGTGTAATATTCCTAGGTACCTCTTGTCCTAGTTTTCACATTTGTCTTCACTTGCAGAAGTAAACAACAGCTGCCACAGCTTTACACTGGAAACCTTCCCTTTTTCCTCCCAACCCAAACACTCTGGACTAGTCCTCTCTCAAAAGCATATATTTATTCTCTCCCTT